TTTCTATGGGAAAAATGCTAATGCTAACTATGACAACCTTAACCCCCACCCAGCCCTAACCATAACCATAAGTAACCAAGCAAAATACAAGAGTTGTTGCATTTTTTGTTTTTTCATTGCAGTCACGGATTTTTATTAGATTGAATTCAAGGGGGAAAGAAAAGGGATATTCATCACGTTGTGGGGACATTGTGTCCCCATAAGGTAAGATATACCCGCTCGAAGAGCTTGCACCCCAATCCTGATACTTCAGTGCCTGTAAATAAATGTGGCCACTGTTCCTGTTACTCTCTTACTTCCTGCCACAGGGAACTCATAAGAACTTCATCGATTTTGCAGGGAGCGTCACAAACCCTTGTGTCCCCGTCGACTTTATAGCAGGTACGCGGCGGGCAGACGAGGAGAAGCCCGGGCAGCAAACAGCTGGATGGGGCAACGCCACAAGCAGCTCACCGAGCACCGTCACCGCGGCCCCAGCAGTGCCAAGCACCGCCTACGATAACACGAACGGCGGGTGACTGGCCAAAAATAAGGCACTGGTCTCATTTCCCATCATCCCTCCCTAGCTCTGCTCCCCCCACCATTGTGAAACCAGCACAAACAACTCTTAAAGAACCAAGATCCAACCGATGCAGCATGCACAAATAAAGGGTACTAAATGCACGCTTTAACTAGCTATTCCATTACTCGCTTAACTCAACACAAATACAATGGATTCCCCTACAATGCCATCAGTTACCGTAGTAATTAAAGGGAAAGGGGGCCACAGGAACCAGGTGGAGAGACAGTCGCGATTTATTTATTCGCGTATTACTCGTAGTGCCGAGAAATATCGACTGCTGGTCTGTGATGGTCGGCTCTTTCCCCAGGAAGGGAGTTTGATGTATTTGTGTTTTAAACACAACGCACAGCGAATGCTTTCCGAAGCAAGCCTTACACACAGTTAATTTAATACTGCTGGTCTTATGCCAGTGATGATGTATACCTGGGTATTCTTTAACAATGTGCATAAAGGACAGAAGAAAGCACTCTGACCTTTGAAGCACTGTGCTCCTCTGTAATACTCTTTAGAGGAAACACCTTCATTCCAGTACACCCAGTAGCCATTTCTCTAACGATGTTCTTCCTTTATAGCTTCATTTCTGGACTATCTGACCTGCTTGTTATCATCTGTGACACGGGATGGGACTGGGGAGTTTGTATGTGCCCCCCAGTGATTCTTCCTCCAGTTCACACCTGCTCAAAGCACGTCAAACAGCAAGTCAAAGACTGTTAGCCAACATGAAGACACAGACTCAGTGCTGGAGGTAAGATAGCGGCTAAAAGTTCCTGTATGGTCTTAGCAAAACACATTTCAGATAATTCACAGGCCCTTTGAATCATACTCTGTGGCCCATTCATTAGGTACCCTTGTGTAGTGCTGGGTAAATCTCCCTTATGTCTGCAGAACCACTCCAAAGATCGATAAATTGCGCATTCTGGGATACCTCTCTGCACGCCGCTGTTGTACCGAGCTGTTATTTTTGCACTTGTGGCCCTTCTGTTAGCCTTAACGAGTCTGGCTATTCTGACCTCCATCATTAACGAGGTGTTTTCAGCCACAGAAATGCCACTGACTACATGTGTTTTTGTAGTTTGGGAACAAAATCATAGTTTTACTAAAGGTCTGGCGCTCCCGTCATCTCGAGTGTTTGGCGTCAGGTGGTCAGGATAGCGGTCACATGGACACTCTCAACAACCAATAGGTGAGCTCTTTCCAGCACCAATGAGGGAGCAGCAAAGTGGGTATGAATTACTGCAGTTTGAAGGGTTAAGATAATAATAGAGATTTATGTAAAATTCAAACATTCAAATACCATAGAAATCTAATATATGAAACAATGAAATGCGTAATATTTAAAATAATGAAATCGGTTCACGCAACCAGGGTTGTGTCCACATTCTATGTTGTCTCTTTTTCATTGTTACTGAAATAGTACCGAACCCTGAACCAAAAACCATGGTTCATACTGAGCCGTGAATTTTGAGTACCATTACACCCCTGGTGTGGTAAGACACCGCAATATATTGTTTACTGTAATATATAGTTTATTCCCTTTGTATATTACGGAAGAGGATTAGGGCCACCATGAAAATATTATTTGAATTCCGACTTTAATCTCAGAATTCTAACTTTTTTTCCAAACTCAGATTTCAAATCAGTCAGAATTCAAATAATATTTTCATGGTGGCCCTAATCCTCTTCCGTAGTATATTGTATGCCTCTTGTATGCAGGTCTTCCCCACTGTCTGAAAGTACAGCACTCCTATGAAAACTTTCATAAGCTGAAAAGCCAAACTGGTTGGAATTGCGCAAACTGTAGATATCGCCAAATTAGAAAAACTTGCCAAGTTCAATTACAAATTTGGATGGAACCACAATCTTCTACAAATTAATTTTCAAACTGGGACAGATTAACCACCCTCCCTAGCCACCAACAATCTTCGACAACTGCTTGTAATTCAAAGGGTAAGTTGTGATTACGTCTTCTGCGTGTTTTGTAGCTCCTGAGGCATGTACAGCGTAAACTGCCCTTCCGACGCTACGCATAGTATCACATGCCAGAAATGTTTAGTTATTGCAGAGTTGGAGGACAGGATTCATGCATTGGAGGAGCACATTAGTACTTTAGTGGAGATTAAGCAGATCGAGGGATTTTTAGATATGGCCCAATCAAAGCACGGAGCCAGCTTAGATCTGGCAGTTGTCCCGCCTGCCACGTCTCCAGTCCGGCTCCTGCACCAGTGGCCAGCACATGTGAAGCCCTGGGTCACGATGAAACGTGACCATAGGAGCTCTAAGCCGAGAGCTCCTGCAGGCTAGGTGTTAGCACTTAGCAACAGGTTCTCTGCTCTCAGTAGTGCGTCTATTGGCTTTTCCCTTGACTGTTTTTTAGTATGAATGTGGCCACAATCGTACAGGAGAAACACTGACTTGTCATGAACTTATAAAAAACATCATGTGTTGTCATATATAATTAAAATAAGAAAAATGCTTGCTAGCCTTATATGAACTATGCGTTTTTTTTTCTTCTTTTTTATATGGGATGTTGGAACTAATGATATAAAGTCCCAACAATCTGAGGTATTAAAGAAGAACTTAATTTCTGTGTGTGCAAAAGCTAAAACAAAATGCCAGAATCGAATTGTCTCTGGTCCCTTGTCAGTCCTTTATAGACGGGATGTAACCTAGAGTTTGCTACTTAATTTCCCTAAACCGCTGCTGACAGACTTGGTGTGTATCTCAAAACATATTATTAGACCAAGACTTAGACCTAAACATTCCACTTGGGGCTTCTGTGTGGATAACTTAATATCAATCCCACTGATAAGATTAAATGAGCTACAACATAAACCCATCATAAAATGCTCATTACTGAACGTTCTCTCTTTAGGAAACAAATCAGTTCTTGTCGATGATGTGGTGCTTGACTCTAGTGCAGCTCTCTGTTTTTTTTAACTGAAACCTGACTCAGACCCACAGACACTATCCCGCTTGCTGAAGCCTCACCTAATGGGTTTAGTTTCATACATAAACCACATGGCTCTGGGCGCGGAGGCGACCTGGCTGCTATTTTAAACTCGTTTTTAAAAATTAAACTCGTAATCATTGAAGATTTTACAACATTTGAATCAAAGCTACTTCAAATGATATCTGACCCACCCATCTACGTTCTTACAGTATGCAGACCATCTGGACCACACACATCGTTCCTAACTGAATTAGGAGAACTTCTCGCGGACTTAATTGTCTTACTTGGAGATTTCAATATACATGTGGACCTAGAGTCTGATGCTTTCAGCAAAAGTTCCCTGTCCCTCCTGGACTCTGTTGAATGTCACCAGCGCATGTTCACAGTCATACACTGGACTTGATTATCACTTAGAGAGTTTACGTTCATCATGAATCTGTCTGTCCATTGAATAAGTCCTTCACTGACCATCGTGACTGAGCTACCCTCTTTGACTATAGAGTGGATTATTATGACACATTATCTAAATGACAGAATTATTGATACAGTAAGTACTGTAATGTGAACGTCAGCAAAGTCACACATGACTTCAGTACAGTAGTCAGGCAGGTTTTGGGTGAAACGGCGCCTTTGAAAAATAAAGCTGAAAAAATCCTCCAGACATTCTCCTTGGTTTAATGATCTCGTATGTTTTTACAAACAGCAGTGCCACAGATTACAGTGCAAATGGAAATCGGGGGGGTGGGTGGGTTGACCTTGGACCCCTAGAGGTTTCATTTCTCCCTACTTGGCAGTTTTTGGTTCCTCTCCACCATTGTCATCTTCCTTTCTTTCATTTCTTTGTCTTTCCTTTTCCTTGTTTTTGAATTATTCTGTATAAATGATGCAGGAATGCATCACATGTAACACACCCACGTAATGCACCTTGGGGCGGCTGTATTGTGGAAGGCGCTATATAAAAATAAATTGAATTGAACTTAAATGGCAACTAACCTATAATATATAAAACCTTAAATAACACTGTCATAAAGTAAAAGCAGGAATATGACAAATACAGAACCGGTATAAAGTAGAAATAATATATGTATACTTTAGTTTCATTACCAGAATCAATACAGTCATGCGTCACTTAACGACGGAGCTACGTTCTGGGAAATGTGTCGTTAGGTGATTTTGCCGTTGTGAGAACAAACCTAGATGGTACAGTATAGCGCTCTACACACCTAGGCAATATGGTAAAGCCTAATTAAAAATTTTACAAAGTACAGTATAGTAAATACATAAATCAGACTCAATTATCATTATCAAGCAGCATGTACTGTTCTATACTTACACGACTGGCAGTGTGGCAGGTTCGTTTACCTGCAGCACCAACAAACACATAATGTGTTACGTTATAACGTTATGACGGCTACGACGTCGCTAGGTAATAGGAATTTTCAGCTCCATTATAACCTTATGCGATCACTGTCGTATATGCGGTCAGTCGTTGATCGAAACGGCATTATGCGGAGGATGAGTGTTTACTTATAATTAGCTTGCTGATAAAAAAATGGCTTTTCTCCTTGTTTTGTCAAAGCAAACATCCTCTTCAGATTTCTTTACTTCAGTGAAAACAAGTGCCAGTGTAAGTCTTTCGTGAAAAGCAAAGTATCGTAAGGCAAACGTTGGTAAAGTGATATACAGGGATACCTGTACAGTATATTGTTCGCTTGATATTTGTAATTGCGTCGGATTTATAAGTGATCAACATACCACACACGTGAGATACGGATAAGTTATTATACTTTTTGTCGCTCAGTTGTCATACTGCAGAGCTCATTGCTGTATTTGTACTGTTTCAGGGCTGACTGCTGGATGACCTGTAATAGTAAAAGTTGCGGAGGAGACCCCAACTGGCTCAAGAGATTTTCACCTATTGTTGCTCTTTCACATTTCATATATTCTGTTAGAGAAACACAGTATCGGCGTACTCGCTGCGCTTCAAAGTCTCCACAAAGTCGAGGGCGGGAGAGACGGAGACGAGATTCCCTGCGAGAGGCGACGGCATCGCAAAACATGTTCCACGCGAGTTGAAACCGAGGTCTTCGCTCATTAATGCTTAATGCTTTATCCCTCAGCGTTTGGCTCAGCCTGCAAGTCCCTGATTACCTGCGGACAGGTAAACCCTCTTTTTGCTGTCACTCTGCCTAAACGATGGAGATACAAACCAAAACAAAACGCATCTGAAGCCCAAGGAATCACACAGAATATAGCAAATTAATTGTCTCCTTGTGTGCGTTGCGCTGTGCTAATCAGATTCAATCATTTCTGCAAGGTGCAGAAATCCTCTCCTAAGCCAAAGCATTAACATTAATCTAACCTAATTAACTTTACTGGGAAAAATATGCAAATACAATTTCTAGTTATGTGATATAAAAAGAAACATTTCAAATTTAACCGTCAAAGTCAAATTAAAGAGTGGAATAATACAGCATGAGTCTTGATATTTTTAAGTCTGGCATTAAGTGTCGTTCCCAATTCATTTTAGGATATCCAAACGTTTTTTTAATTATTTTATTATGGCTGGTCTTGTTAAATATAATTGGAAGTTCTAACCATCCATCCATCTATCCATCCATCCATCCATTCACCCAAGCTACTTATCCGATGTATGGTTTTGGCAAACCCAGAGCCTGCCTCAGGCTGCCAGGGCACGAGGCATTGGACAGGGGACACCCTTTATGGGAGGTAAATTCCTCATTAAAATATTTTTGGTTGGTCAGTCTGAAAGAATGTCACAGTTTAGCCTCTACAGCACACTGTAAACTCGTGCACAGATAAGTACACACTAATTAATAAAAAACACTGTTTGAGTAATGAGATCTATTATTTACACATCACAGATATTAATTTAGCTTTTTAGCCTGAGATCGGAGAACTTGAATCTCAGTTCTCATATTATGTGTTATTGTATTTGTGGGTCATCCACATTCCATGCTGGCGGGATTTCGGAAGACCACAGATGTCAAAATGGAGAACTGCTTGTGTTCCAGCATGTCGACTAAATATAAGCATGGAAGCCATGTCCTTAGTTCACAGCTGCACAGCTGTGTCAGAGCAAACGGAAATACCCATGTGAGCACGGCAGTCCATGTGATTCACACCACTGAAAAAGCCATCCGCCCCGCTCCCATGACTGCCATCTCAGTACGGGGTCACATGGACCTCAGTCTATTCCAGGAAGCGCAGGGCAGGGAGACACTGCGAAGTAATGCATCGTGGAGCGCACACTCACGATGATACACGTTGAACTGTGCACGTCAGGCTAATGAAAGCCGGAAGTGCAAGCACGCTGGCGCTCCGGGGGTCAGTGTGCGGCAAAAGGTGGGATTTCGGGTATAACAAAGAACGTAATCAGTTTCTCTACAACGTTACATAGACGAAGCTCCGTGTTTTTTCACCAATGATCAGCATCCATGCTTCTGACTGCTAGCAGAACCTTTCAGCTCCTTCAAGAGTACCCCCCCCCCGCTCTGGCCCCTGCACACCTTCATGATGGAAGGGCTCTTGAATACACCGATGGTCACCTTCAGAATTCGGGCCAGTCTGGGTTCGGGCCATACGGAGACCTGCCCAGATACGTCCATTGCTGATCTCCCCTTCTCCCTACCTCCCACCCGAATCTACCCAGTGCAGCTTGGATTCCCGGAGTAATCCATAACTGTCCGCCCGGATCACACTCACGGGGGCGACGGGTGTGAGTCCGTCCTGCTTCACGTTCTCGTGTTTAGATACAGAGCCGTGCGGAATGATTGTCGATGAGTGATGGTACCTGCAGGGATCATGGCGGCGTGGTGAGGGTTAGTGCTGCTGAATCCAGGCAGGGCTCGGGGTGGGGGGTGGGGGGGGGGCACAGCTGATTTCATTTTATCCACCGCAGGAGGGGCGGGTCTAAGCTGACTACTCCTGTGGTCGAGCCGTGAAATCGAGCCGTTCCATAACCATGCCCGTCGCCGAACGTAAAGATCTACAAATGCAAAGGATACATGAATAACCGCATAAGCGGACTGGCAGGATTACAGCGTCAAAGTGCCAAACTGTAATCCCTGCAGCGGCCTGCAGGGGGCCTGAGGGCGGACAGGCCCAATGAAGGCTACGCTAGCTGCTAACGTCAAGGTGAAGGATGTGAATTGTGAAGCTGTCTGCACCAATATTTAGCACTGCTGCAATGACAGTGGTGACAGCAGATACTATACCTCCAATTAGCTAAAACCTGTGACAAACAAATTATATAGGTAAAACAGGCTAACAGGACAATGTGAGGTAATACATTTTTACATTATCACACAATCAAATGCAGGGGAACCAATGACTAAGGACTTCCAATAGAGAGGTGAACAGCTGCAGCCTGTTACTAAAACTGTTTTACAGTCAGCTGTTTTACACTCTTAATGAAGTACTCATTCACATACTGTACAGAAACAGTACAGTACAGGCCTGCATTTCCTTCCGTTTTCTATCGCAATAAAAACCTCCCATATGAGATATTCAGTATCTCACTGTCAAAAATATAAAAAATGCATTAAAATATTTAAAGACACTTTAATTAGAGAATAACGTGAGTTTGCTATGACTTTTTAAGGACAGACTTAATAAATGCTCAGTCATAACAGGCTCTGAGTTTGCCAAGGCCATGCAATTTACCACATGAATTTAGTCATCAAATCGGAAGATAGAGGAGATTAAAACATACGCATTCTTGATAAAGATCTCTTAATATTTTTCTGTAGATTTTTTAATAAGCTCAGGTGTCTGGTGCTGCAGATTTTTGTGTGTGTGTATGTGTGCGTGCGTGCGAGCGGGTTTGTGTGTGTGTGTGTGTGTGTGTGTGTGTGTGCTGTCAGCTGTCACATGCATAATTTGATTAGGACTTAATATTAAAAACTTAAAGAAGCTAGATTTATTTAAGTTGGCCTTAAAGAAATACATTTATGTTATTAGTAGATGTCAATCTGGATTTAAACTCTATATGTCTATTCTAAATTATATATATAATATATATATGCGCTATATTTAGAAATTATTCTTTTAAATTTATTTCAGTTTTTGCTACTGGTTATTAAAATTGCAGTATGATCTCAAGCAATCAGGGCCTGAAGATTGTGACAAAAAAAACCAAAAAAAATCATCTTACACTAGTCATCATAGGACACAAGTTATTAGAAGACACAGTGCAGGTGGGCTGTCGTTTTGGCACTTATGGAGCTTATAAATATTGCAAATAACATGAGCTGACTTGCACGTGTTCCCAGGATTGAACAGCACCAAAGACACACATAATATTGATAAAGGTTTTATATTGTTATCCATGTGTCCCTTTTACCATTTTTGCACTCAAATACACAGACAAAGTAGTATTAGAATGAGGACATGAAAGATGAAAGCAATCCACGCTCCCCCACTGGGTTACATCAAATCGAATGGCTACTGGCTAAGCCCATTCTAAAAACGAATAGCACACTTTTGTAGCTAATTCTGTATATTGCAATACTTTCTGCCAGGTCTATATTGTGTTGTTACTGTGTCCTCCTGCTCCATCATTTTCGGTACCATGGACACATCCCTAATACACTTGACTGAAAGGATGAGCAAGAGAGAGAAATCGACAGAGATAAAACAATAGCTTATTTGTTGTTGTTGTTGAAAAGGCTTCAGTGACCTTTAGACTGCGGGCCACTGCAAAAGCAAGAGATAACCTTAAAAACATCTTTCTATAAACTGACGCGGACAACCGGCAGTCTATATGCCATCTTCGGCAGAGTGAGCGGGGTGGATTCTTGCAGCTTATCGCTACATTGATCAGCATGCGAATTTCCAAGAAGACATGCAATTAACCTCTACTCTATCAGTATGAGAAATCAACAGATTGTGATCTGAGTGTGTTTAGTATGTTGTCAGAAAAGCCAGATGCAGGAACGGAACTATCGGGCGGGTAAATAAGGTCCAATCCGCCTCACAAATTTCTCATTGAATCGGTTACTTGTTTATTCCTGCTTGACCGTGTGCTCTCCCACATTCCTTAATAATGGACGGTCCACATTTCGCATGTGGCTGCTGTGAGTGTGGCCCGTCCCATACTGTAGGATTTTCCCTACTCTACAAACCCCCTGCTGATGTAAATCCCTTTCGCCAGAGGCCCTGGGGACCTTCTTTATGCGTGACCTGATAAAACGAGAAGAACCAGAGTATATCGAGGCTTGTTAAGCCCTGGGTGTAACCCCAGACAGCTCAAAAACCAGTATGATTCAACCAACTGCCATCTTAAATAAGGCACCCCTTATAAGAAGAAGCATAATCAAAATTTAATAGGAAAAGAAGGTGTTTCCAACTCAGCATTACACGTTTAATTTTTACCAACCATATACAGTAATTATATGGGCAAGACAGCAGGTCATCAAAAAATACTTACACTGCTCAACAAGAGCCCTAAGAAAATGTGTACTGCCCAGCTCGGAGGTAATATGCTGTATTTTTTTTTTCTTTAAGTAGATCAAAGGCAACTTAGCAAAACTCAGATCTCCTCATCTCTGTCAAATCACATGCAATCAGAAGTCAAGAGATCTGGTGATGAATGGAAACAGCAAATGCCATTCTCTCCCAATTGGCTGAGACATCAAAGCAGGGAGACCTTGCTGTCCAATAGTATTCAGTCTCTCTTGCAAAGGATTATTTGTACATTAGGGAATTGGACACTGTGTGTAACAGACTGTATGGCACCAGTCTCTTTCTCGATGGGAGCTGCATGAATGACTTGGGAACCTGGGGAAAAATGAGTGTTGTCAATGTTTGAGGAGCAAATTGACTAATTTTAGACTCATAGGTAGATGATGGATAGAGAATTGAAGCTGTGAGTCATACGACTATTTGGATCTCAGATGTCTGCAGCATTAAAAATATTCAACGATATATTCAAAGGATAATTACGGTGATTTTGTCCTGTAAAGAAAGAACAACTTAGTTGTTTCTTGTAAATGTAATTAAATTCTTAAAAAATAATTAAAAAAAAAACAAAAGCAAACATTTTGAACTGTTTTGCTGTTCACATGATCAGGGAAGACGTTCACATTTACTAAATAGCTACATTAAAGCCAAATTCAAGTCAGCTTTTAAAGTTCGTTATTAATTGGTAAGGCAAACAGCTGTGTTTCATGGACTAAGAAGAAACATCGGCTTTTGCTTGAGGGCTAATGTGTAGTTCAGTGGATTAAGGCTCTGTGCACTAAAAGTCTTTCATAGATGCCAAATAATCATATTGCTGTTAAGGCCGTGATAAAGCCTACAGCTCCCAATTGGTCTAGCGGTATGATTATTGCCTTGTGTGCAAGAAGATCATGGTTCAATTCCTAGATGATCCATAACCTGGCTGTAAAGAATTTCCCCCTGGGCTCAGTAAAGTTAATCTTAACTACTATAAGTACAGGCGATGTTGGTTAATTATCCCTCAAGCATCCCTCACGCCTTGCTTTGGATGGAGAGATTCTGTTTTCTGCAAACACGTTATTGTAATATAAAACTCACAATTTTATACGAAGACAGGTGTTAATTAAATAAACAGGGTACATCAACATTATAAGGGAGAGTGTAAAATAGCAGCATACCACAAACGGAGAACACTTTAATGTCCTGTTCAGTTTAAACAATGACATATAAAGCAGTGAAGTGATAACAAACAAATGCCCAAACACGAAGTTTAACATGCTGTCCCTTATGGCTGCGTTGTTTCCTTTTTGCATATTCATTGCGTCTTTTAAAATTTATTTTCATTTATATTCTATTTGACACCATGGAGCCATTTTTTTGTCATTTTTGTCAAGAATGAAAGTCACCAGATAAGAGTGATGTAAAGAGTGGACCTGCAAGATGTTTAATTTCCCTAAACAAAGCAGCAGATATCTATGACCTTAGTCTCGTTCAGCTGTGCTGTATTAAAACGGTCAGATTTCACCAGATATCCAGCCTTCTAGAACTTTATGAATTATTCAAAAATTCCTTTACATATATTTAGCCAGACGCAAAAAGCAAGGCTGTTTATGGGGGATATCTTTCATCTGATGTATGTACTGGGCTGTTAGAAGCACTTCTTGATTCAGGGGTGGCTTGTTCATTCCCTGTTTTGTCCCTGCAGTTACTTTCTAAATGTGTCGTTGCGCTTTATTCTGTACAGTCATACTGATTCAGAGCTTCACATGTTGCAAACTGGTCTGCTTTTTATTCGTGAACGAATCATTTGTATTTTCACTCTCTGTCAGATTTCGGGAAGCTTTGTGATCAATATGTACCATTCTCACACTAAATTAAAAGTGTGAGAATCTGGGTTCTTCTGTAAGGTTTTACGTTGTAACTTTTTTCTGTAAATACTTGAAAATGAAAGAAAGAGAATATGCACAAAAGGGAAAAACACTGTTCGAGAAATTAGAAAATGATCTCAAAATCTAGATTCCTCAAAATGATCTGTTTGTCTCGTCATTGAAAATCATAGACGGGATGGTGTGTGGCTGAACGGATCAGACCACTGACCCTGTAATGGGAAGATCGCCGGTTCAAATCCCAGGGTCAGCAGTGTGATGTCACAAGGCCCTTAACTTCCAATGACTTCAGGGACTGTCTGATCCCTGCTTTCTGCTATCTCTTTGGATAAAAGCATTTACTTAATGGTAAATTACCTGACATGTCTTTTAAGCTCTTCTGTGGAAATTCCCAAGGAGTTTCTGGGTCGCTTAGATATTCTGTATGGTTTGTTCCAAGGAAGTACTATGGGACTGAGGTATGGAGACTGAGCAGGCCAGGCCTCTGTTTGAGGTGTCTGTACCTTTTCTTCTTCGCTAAACAGTTTTGGCACAATTTTGAGGTGTGTTTTAGGTCACTGTCTCACTTAAGACTGAAGAGTTGCCCAATGAGCCATTATCCTGATGGAATGGCACGCTTGTGAAACGTACGATGATGTCCACACTGGATGACCATGCTTTAGATTTGGTAAAGCATCCAAAGACCGTGACACCACCTCCACCATGCTTAACAGAACCGCACGTGCAGAATTCACCCTGTGTCCGTCTCAGAAACACAAGGCAGGTGGACCAAAATATTTAAAATTTTGACTCGTTAATCCTTAAGACTGCGTTCCACAGAGAAGTGTGTAGAGTTTAAAGCAAGATAATGATGGTTTCAAGCAGGGATACTGGAACTGCTTTACTCTAAAAACATCCATCCGTCAGTGCATTATCCACATCGGTTTACCCATACAGGACGATGGCGAGCCATGATTGGTGAGGAACGTGACATGAGGATGGGGATTGCCATGGACCGCATGCCTATGCAGATATTCGCAATTCAGCATTTATTAGTGCTTACTTTAGAGTATCGTGGCACCTTATGAGAAAGTGTGACCTAGAGATTATTTTTTGGGGTGAACACTTCGAAAAAATCTGAATATGCAGATTTTAATCTATAGGTAAACAACCAAGTCCCAAATTATACTGTACCATATATACGGAAATATAAAGAATGTGAAAGTGAGTTTGTTTTGACCTCTTAATACTCCATTTTACCAGAGCCTAATACTCTTGGGCTCTGGTAAAATTATGTAACATAATCACAGGAGGTCACCTAAGCACAGATGCAGCTACTAGCGAGGATTCAGCTAGTAATTTCTTATGCTGCACACTCAAAAAAAATTAAAAAAAATGAATAAAGATTCCTGGAAGCAGTCCAGAAATGATGTCAGCCCTGGGAAAAAATTAAAAATAGGCACAAAGAAGAGGTGGTCCTGATGGGAAGGCAGCAGAGGGTCTGTACACTCAAAAAGCGTGATGTGCAAATGTAGGGTGCACCTCTGGGCACCTCTGGGTGGTGAAGCAGGCACACTTGCCTCATTGCAGGTTCCCTTAAAGACTAGACATTACAGATTTTATCCCTTTTATGTACAAGGCCCGGATTAAATCCATTATGCATGTCAGCACAGAACCAAACTTCAACTCCTTTTCATTCATTCCTGCTATCATGAGACATTACGAACTCATTCAAGAGCTAACCTAAAAATACCAGCCATACTCACCAACCTCTTATCGTAGCGTTTGGCTAATCTGACTGCTAGATAAAAACGTGCTATCTTCACGATCCACCTAAATGTCCCAATGTGCATCTGGAAGTGCCACACATCAGAGTTATAAATCACACCCATTTAAGCACGCCTCTATCGCAGCCATTTGCAGCAGTTGCAGATTATCTTAAGCTATTTATTTGCAGAGTCTACCATCTCTCCAGGGCCGACATGACTTATAGGGTGCCTTTTAAACTCATTTTATGTAATTACACAGGTAGCTATTTTCAATAACATGGCTGTTGATGTTCCTTTATCAGGGACTCAACCGCAATCCCAACTCTCTCTGCCACATCTATGTATTTTAAAAATAGTTTAATTACTGATAATAAGGGGTTGAGAGAGCCTGGGAGGACTTTGTAAGAGCACCACAAATTGCAAGGGACCAGTTTTATTTTCACATTCTCTTTTTCTCTCTTTTTTTGGTGATGGACAAAGGGGGGGGGGGGGGGGGGGGACAGGAAGAAAAATCAGCGGGAAGGTAAAAAAATACACAAACAGGGGACATGCAATCACATGACTGATCTGTTTCAGACCGGCTCTGTTGGGGGTTACTGTCAAAACAAAAGCAGAACATGGGGATACATACGGAGAACCGGGAACAAGGCCCTGGTGGAACGAGGCAGTGAGAACAAACACGGGCACCTGAATTTCCCTTTGGAGATGATAGCAACTCTAAACACTACACAGGACAAAAAGTAGTCTACAGACCACAATACGTCAATGCTACTTATACTCATATTACAAGTTTATCAAGGCAATATGATGAAAGACACATTAGATAGAAAAATGCAAGACTTTCTTTTGCCTCTGAATCTTCTGTTGTGGTTGAATGATGGACAAAGAAAGGGTTCCAATTAAATTACGGAACAGAAATAAACAATAAAGCCATTATTAAAAGAAAAAAAAAAACATTTTATCTGGAAAGATTATTGTGAAAGTCATTACATATTAGACGGCCAAATTGCATCAGCATGCCAGTACTTTGTCTCTCTAAAAATAGCCAGTGTTTCACTCTGGTTTCAGATCTAGATTTCACCGCGTTGCTGCTGGTGCATGATTTCAAGTGATCACAACGACTGAGTCGCCTGCTCTCTGTCCAACTGAATAATTGACGACGTACAGAATAGCTACACGGCAGATTTCATGTCTGAAAGTTGGGATGCTGCAGGAAGGAGTGCGGCCAGAAAACTCCAGCGGAGGATATTATCGGCTGTTTCCATGGTAATTATTGTCCTCGTTGCTCCTCCCCCTTTGAGTGTTATTGTTACCAATTATATAATTAGCTTCAGAAAACTCTTCTCTGTGTTATCAAGAACTGAAGCCCTTGTAATTTTTGTCTGTTATTTTGATACAGGGAATGTTTGATCAGAAATGAAGCAACTACAATTTGTTACTATCTTAACAACAAAGGTAATTTCCAGAAATATGTATTATTTACGATTGATTTTATTCATGAATCTGACTGACATGAATGGTCAATGAAAAAAAGGTGATCAGATAATCCTGTTATTCCTTTTGTCCTATTGTCAGTGTATATTATTTTATATATGTATATTTTTTTACCTTAACACTGATAAGAACAAATAACTTGGTGCTACTTAGAATATATATAGATAATTATATATATTTGGTGATAATAATGAAAATGACATGTATATCCTGCTAATCATTTTCATAATCCCGTCATCCAATTTGACTTTTACTTAGTTGAACTAAAGCCGTTGCATATGCATTAATTTAATTTGGCAGATTTCTTCAACTAGGTCAACTCCCAGCATGTAGCTTGTACACACAAGAATATGAATGCAGAAAAACAGACAACAAGAACTTGGTAATGGGTAATAAACACAAAACATGCCCTAAAAAGTTTACCGCGGTCCCAAAAACTGTGTGACATGACACAATGCTGTCAGAAGGGGGCACCGCAGATCCTACTGGCACTATAGGTGGGGATTCAGGCCATATTTGGTTTTAATGTGTGGTTCTCCTATGAGTGACTTCAAGACCTTCAGAAGCTATGGTGTACCAATCCTTGTAATCCTCATTAGCGCACAGGTAATTCGGTTGGCGAAAATGCTACAGTGGAATGCATAATGATGACAATACAGCCTACTGAGTGTGTCTACCGTGAACAAACATATTTAACGTGCGTCCGCTGCAGTAAGACAGGGCAGTTTGTGGAGACATTCGCCATGGCATTCGTGTTGCCGGTGTTAGAGACGCGTAAAGAAGAGGCCATTTTTTGGGGGTTCATTACTTATTAAAGTCGTTCTCAACAATTAGCTGTTTCTTAACAAGTCCGTACAACTCCCAGAAAATAAAATTAATTGGCACTCCAGCAACATGCAAGAGCCCCCTAAAAAGCCACAGCAGGATGGTGCGAATTGCTCATATTTTGGCCGTAGACAGCACTATTTTTTGTTTCACTCATTTCTCAATTTATCTGTGTGTGTCTGTGAATAATTACATATATACATACTGTATACAGAGAGAGAGAGAGAGAGAGGGAGAGAGAGAGAGAGAGAGAGCAAACTGCAGCCTGGCTCTTCCCTGCTTCTCATTAATGAGATACTTCTTCCTTTGCTTTATGGGTCTTCAGTCCTGCTTCTAGGAGCCTGATATGAACTGTCCTAGCTGTGCACTTCACACCATTTAATGTTTCCCATTCCTTCTGAAGGTCACTTGATGTCATCTTACGATTGATGAGAAACTGTCGGATAAGTTAACGGTCATCTCTAGCATTATAAAGTCACTTCCGCCCTTTACCTGGTTGGTTGCTGCCCAGAATCTCCTACTTCACCTTGTATACACAAATATTTGTATCTATCCCATACACACATGTGAGTTAGATACTTTAAATAATGACTAGACAAGTAACATGGGGCAGCCGAACCATAAAAATCTGCACTTCATGTTTATTTCATTGGACAATATAGGAGGCTGCATCTCCATACTTATAACAGAAGTCATGCATAAAAGGATCTGTTAGTAAGATTTATTCTTAATTTTGCCATCATATCTTTGTATAGATAAAACGGAAAGGTATGTGACATCACAAATTTATCATTTCTAATTTACTGAAAGATTAAACTAGAATTAATGGTATGATGCTATGCATCTAAATAGGCAAGAATAAAATAAATGGAATGCAATCTTTTAATGCAGGGTTTCCCAACCCGACCCTCAGGCACCCCTAGCCGGTCCATGGTTTTGCTCTATTGCCGCTTCCTGCCAAAGATTGCACATTGTTCCTCCCTACCGGTGGCTTGGAGGGAGCAAAAATGTGGACTGTCTGCAGGTCTCCAAGGACTGGATTGGGAAAAACTGCATAAAAAGATTGCATTCCATTTATTTAACGTATATCACACTTTCATTAAGTGTCTAAGACTTATTGCAGTATTTTTAAATTGTGCATTTGGATGCCATCCTAGAATTTTGGGTGAGGCAGCATATTTTTTTCTCAGAACTGATACAATTATTCAAGCTACCCACATTTAAGGCATGTATTCAACTATTTACATGTGGTACGAATAATTCTCCACACAATCCGTCATGGTTACCTGCCAATGTAATACGAATGGTCATGCATTACGCACATCGGCCCTCAAACAGTCCAGTGCTTCCAGTAACATACCATTACAGGCATTGCACTTGGAGACTCAATATGAGAAAAATAATGATAATAGAACTGGCATCCAGATTTTATGCATCATTTAAATCTAGATTAACATTTAATCTTCAAAAATTCCTAATGGATGAATAAGAGCATAATGTTAATTCTAGGGAAATGTTTAGAGAAAATTACTCCTAATACTACTTCTCTACTTTTAACTAAAGCATTCCCTGGCTCTCAGAAAAATCATCTTTTGTAAACACTTACAGTATGTATTATATGGGTGATCTTTTGTGATGCAATTAATATGTTGTCAAATTTTTTGTCAAATATATATTGCAATGTATTTGCAACATTCAGTCTTATGACAGCTCAACATGGGACCTTCTGAGTTTTATGACCACATATCATGTAACATCCTATGTCCTATAACAGCTCAAATAAAAACATCCTCTATGTTTAGTCTGGAGTTGTTTTCCTGGTGGAAACCAGATGCCCCCATTTCCCTTGGGTATACTGGGGTGTCCCTCTGAGCAACAGTGCATATGCTTTGGATGGTATCGATTTCCAGACCTATAGATTTTGCGACTGGATGGACGGTTTTTGTCTTTTGTTGTATGTGCTGAAATCAATGTGCCAGCAGACGTAAGTCATCAGAGATGTCTAGGTCTTCCAATTTTATTCTGAATGTCCACCAGGCACCTCTTGGTGGACTCCAGTATGCTCATCACAAGCTGATGATAGGGAGGAATTGTGGATGACTTCTTGTTTTCATATAGTCCATGCATAAGCTTTACAATGTTTGTGGGAATTCCCTAAAGTCTAAGCATTCTTTGCCATTCGTTGTGGTCCATCATGTTCTGAACCTGAAGGTTTATATAGTGGGGCGATTTCCACCCCAGGAACTACTCTTCAATGACATCGAGGGTGTATATATTCTCTGTATATGAGCAGCTGCTCCTAAACCCAGCATGTTCACCACTGAGCTGTTCACTGATAGCTTCTCTTATTCTTTGTAGGATTATTTGCTTGAGGACTTGGCTTGGTAAGGACAGCAGTTGCCCTTGCAGTCTTGCCAGTCAAGGCCCGTTTTGGACAATTTCACATTAAGGACCATCTTCTACTCTTTTTCAGTCCCGCAAACAATTGTTAGGAGACTGAGGAACACATCTGCCATAACCTCTTCAGTAAGGGTATCTCATCTGGTCAAGGGGTTCTGCCATTCTTGATCTTCTTTACAACTTTCACTCTTTTCTCCTTGGTTACTACAGATTTTATTATCAGTAATTTTATTGGGTTTCCTGTGTTAACTTGCGTTCCTCTTCTGCCTCTCTTGCCAGTTATTCTGTGTAATTTCCAGATCTGCATATTCCCACGTGATCCCCTATTTCTGTGTTTATGTTTTAGCTTTGAATCTGGGTGTCTGGCGTTTTTTCTATCATCTGAATGGTTTGTTCTGACTTCCAGCTCTTGAACTCCTTCCATGTAAAGCCATTTTGCTCCTCACAGGCTCTGGCATTTGCCTGTCACTCCTTCTCCCACTTCTTTCCCAGAGTACAACATTCTATTTATGCTTTATGGGTCCTGAGTGTTAGTGTGAACCTTTGCTGGACGGCTGTATTTCTAAGCTTCCGTACTTTGTACTGTTGATTCCTCTGGTATTTCCTACCTCTAATGACTACGATCTTCAATTTGTCCACTACTAACACATGATCAGATTCCACATCTGCTTCTCTGAAGAACACTCACATCTTGAACTTTCCTTCCTCATCTTCAAATGTTGATGCTGTTGATCTGGTTCTGTGTCTGCCTATCTATCAATGTCAATGTTGGAAAGGGTTCCGCCAAAAACTAAATTGCTTGTGACAAAGGTTTGTGAAAAGTTCCCCATTTTCTTATCTCCCTATGATGAGTTCTTTTCCTTTGTTATCTCTTCTGATCTTGGCACTCATTTCTCCTATTTGTAGTAATATGTTTCCGGCAAGCATATTATCTATCATACGGCAAAGGTGTTTCTTGAAGTTCCTGTTGTGTTCAAGGTTAGCTGTGTCTACGAAGCACAGCACAATGATGGCTTCCTGTATGGTCAATATAAAGAAGGCTGTGATGATTTGATCACTGATTGGCTCCAATTCCACAAGCGATGACTGAGCTTTCTTGCTTGGCAGGAAACCCACTCAATTATTGTGTCATCTGCATTTGTGGATGCTGAGAAAAGTGGCGTGAATCCTGTCTCTAGGGTGCCAATCTCACGTCACTAATCCTCAGTACGTCATAATAAGAGAAATGATTGTACTGCACTAAATACTGCAAACCCTTGTACGTCAGGCATTGGTGTTTATTATACATATTTATGTATAAGGAGAAAATTAGTAGCAAGTGAAATGCCATTCTCCTTTCTGTAAGGAAAAAATATTTTCCAACTATTTATTCCAATGTCTGAATAACCTTTTACCAGCTCAGACTTTTTCAGTCTCTCAGTTTCATTCTTTTCGTATTCAAATGTCCCATCTGTACACTTGACAATATTTTTCAGCAAATTACTGGAGTTTCACACCTGTGTCACCAGCTCCTTTGGTTAAAAGGAGAATGTAGCCACCTGGTTGCATTGCCTTTGGACTTTGGAAGCTCAATGGGTAATGAAAAGGAGTCAGGCATGGGACGGGGCTATATCTTGTCCCTGCCCGCCCCCCTTACAAATCCACCCCCCCCCCCCCAAAGGGAGACTCGGCTCTCTGGGTTATTGTTTTGCTGTCTGCGCCAATATCCTCCTGCCCGCTTCCATGCACGGCAACTCCTCCAGCTCTGCAGGCCCTGCTTCTCCAAACACATGGCGACCGCCAGCAAATGGAATGAAAACTCCACATTCTGCCACAAGCAGGGTGCGGTGAACGCAGGACCAGAAAGGGTAGGGGCTGGGGGGGGGGGGGGGATAAAGACAGCATGATATCGGGGGCAAATATCCGACGTGTGACTTTGAAAGGGTGTTTTTTTAAGTCCTGTGGAGCTGATGGTTATAGTAATTCTGAACAGGCTGCTTAACCTGACATGCTCCAGTAAATTATCCAGGAGTAAAAATGGAAAAGTCACAAGTTTCTTTGGATAAAAAAGATTAAAATAAGCAGCAGAACAGTGATTAAAAACAAGCTATGTTTTCCTATTCTGCCAGTCTGCGATGGGAACTGCAATGATTCACATTCCCACCACTAGAGGCAACGCCTCTGCCGTTCACCTACTGCTTTTTCTGTCTTTTTCTTTTGGGGTAAACATCGTCTGTCGTCGTCTCCTGAAGGCACGATGTAATTGAAAATCAATGAAGGAATCAATTCTCTATTCAGCTCAAGTATAAATATTGCTGGAAAAAAGCATGCATTCTGGGGGGTTGTCACTTCAGCAAATGACACCCCTTTCTTCTCTTATGTTGCAATTTTCACCCTGTTATAAAGGCAATGTGTTATGGTGCCCCTGCATTACAAAGCTCTGTTTCTCGTTTGAAATATATTATGTCCTGATTTGAGGCAAATGGAAGTGTCCTTACCAACCTTCCCTCTTAGTTCCCTCCGTGTTCCTTGTCCTCGTTATTCCTCCCTGACTCATATTTCCAATTTGAACATCTTTGGACTGCTTTGACAATGCCCCCAATGGTTATCGTCATACTTCACCCCGACCCCCATCTAGGAACAAGGGCCAATCAAACTGCCCGGCAAATGTGTGAAGACGCCCCACATTCTCTCAGAAGCCTGACGCCGGTTCCCCCGGACCCGTTAACAGAAGCTGACTCGCGGTTCTCCAAAGCCGACTGGCTCACATCCACTCCACCCATCCTGACAAATGAGAGACAGGAGAGTTTAATGAAGAAAGACCCATTTCTTCTTCCCAAGACTCGCTTTGTCAAACCTAAATGAAAAGCAAAAAAAAAAAAAAAAAAACATCTGAGTTGTCTTCCTAACAAAAAGCACAAAGGAAGCTTGCGGATAGCTTATTTGTTTACACGCTCGACAATAAGGTATCTTAGGCTAAAAAACTACTCTAAAGCCAACTGGCAGGCTTGTCAACAAATGGACTGCTTTGAAAAAAATAATGCAAACAACACACTGAGCTGTAAAATCATCTTCTGAAGGACAGGGTGTAGCAGCGTGAGACAGGCTGCCGTTTCAGTATATGGTTTTTTTCCTCTGTTTTCACTGGGTTTTTTTGTCGTTCCCTGCAATGTTTTTTTTTTCCTCCTGAATCTGTACACAGGAGAGGCCCCCTGCTGGCACTGTGGAGAGCAGAACAGACCGGCAGAATGTATGAGGGCTCAGTGCAGTATCTCCCCGTAACAGCAAGATAAAAACGTGACAGAATGAAATCCCCGGCACACACGACTCTGCTGCCCGAGATGACTGCTGTGCACATCGCTCCGTGGAAAGCTCCGGAAAAATGAGCACGCTAAAAGCTAATATGTAGTACGTGAAATATCCACGTAGCCGGACTTGTGCCTCAGTAGGGTGTGAATAACCCAGAAGAATGTGTAAAATATGGCCTTAAGGGTCCTGTTATACATGAAGACAGAGCTATTAAAATATGCCCAATGTTATCACAGGGAGACCATTGTGTTTTGGCAAATATTATAAAATAGGCCCCAGCTGTTTGGAATGACCATGCATCGCGATGGTTTGTGGCTAAGGCAGTAGGCTATGTGGTGTAGTTGTGAAGCCACGACAGAAATGGTCTTTTCAACCCAGATACTCAATATTTGGGAAGAAAATATTCAGTGGTTAGTAATGCAGCCTCAAATGTCCAGGGCCCAAAAACACGCTGTTAGGAAAACTGATGTGCCCAGGATGCACAGTGTGTGTGTGTGTGTGAGGGTGTGTGTGTGTGTGTGTGAGGGTGTGTGTGTGAGTGTTGGTGTGTGTTAGTGTGAGGGTGTGTGTGTTAGTGTGAGGGTGTGTGTGTATGTGTGTTAGTGTGAGGGTGTGTGTGTGTGTGTGAGGGTGTGTGTGTATGTGTGTTAGTGTGAGGGTGTGTGTGTGTGTGTGTGTGAGGGTGTGTGTGTGTGTGTGTGTGTGTG